ACTCCCCTCGCTGCTAACAATGTTCAGCGAGTTAATGGAGCTACCTATGCTGCTATTGCAGCGGGTAGAAATCAAAATACTAACCAACGTTCTAATGGAAATTTTGACAATTTTGACTTAGGAAGCATTACTGCCCCCAAAATGGAATTTTTACAGAATTCATTAATTGACATGATTTCTGATATGCTTAAATCTAACTCCATGTTTGATGCTATTCAAACTGGAGTAAAATTTGCAAATAATATTGTCATGACTTTAAAATTCAGTAATGGATTTTAAAGCATTAAATATTGTAAATTGGAATGCTCGATCTCTTAAAGATAATGAAGACGAGCTATTTAACTTTTTAAGAGTTCATAACGTGCATATTGCCGTTATAACTGAAACGTTCCTTAAACCTGACCATAAGGTTAAAAAGGACGCAAATTACTTGATTTATAGAAATGATCGTCTTGATGGACCCTGTGGTGGCGTTGCCATCATTATTCATAGACGAATCAAACATAAAATACTTTCTTCATTTGAAACCAAAGTTTTTGAAACTTTGGGAGTTTCTGTTGAAACAAAATTTGGACAACTTACGTTTATAGCTGCCTATTTGCCATTCCAATGCGTAGGCCAGCAAAAGAATTTTCTCAAGGGTGACCTCCAGAAACTTACCCGTCATAGGTCTAAATTCTTCATTATTGGTGATTTTAATGCAAAACACCGCTCATGGAATAATGCTCAAAGCAATTCCAATGGTAATATTCTGTTTGATGATTGTTCTGCAGGTTATTACACTATTCAATATCCAAACAGCCCAACATGCTTTTCTTCTGCAAGAAATCCCTCCACTATTGATTTGGTCTTAACTGATTCATGTCAACTTTGTAGCCAATTGGTTACCCATGCTGACTTCGGTTCTGATCACCTTCCAGTAACTTTTGAAATATCCCAAGAAATAATTTGTAATCCCAACAGCTCTACTTTCAATTACCATAGATCTGATTGGGAGCAGTATCGAACATTTATGGAATATAACTTCGATCCAAACATTCCTTTGCAAACCAAAGATGAAATTAATTATGCTCTTGAATCTCTGACTACTTCTATAGTTGAAGCAAGAGCTGCCTCAGTACCAAAATGCGAGGTTAAATTCGATTCAATTATAATAGACGATGATCTTCAGCTCTTGATCCGTCTTAAAAATGTCCGTAGGAGACAATATCAAAGAACACGCGATCCTGCCATGAAAGTTATCTGGCGGGATTTGCAAAAACAAATTAAAAAGCGATTCTCTGCCCTGAGGAACAAAACTTTTGAAAATAATATTTCTAAATTAGACCCGAGTTCCAAACCCTTTTGGAAACTCACAAAAATTTTGAAAAAACCTCAAAAGCCTATTCCAGCGCTTAAAGAAGGTGGTAAAATTTTGATCACAAATTTGGAAAAAGCTCAGAAACTTGCTAAGCAATTCGAGAGTTCCCATAATTTCAGTTTGGGTCTTACTAGTCCTATTGAGAATCAGGTTGCTCGGGATTTTCTGAATATTTTCTCTCGGGAAAATATTTTGGATGATTCCTGGGGGACTGATTTGGACGAAGTAAGGTCTATAACTAAAAATTTTCAAAATATGAAAGCTCCAGGTGATGATGGAATTTTCTATATCCTCATCAAAAAACTCCCAGAGAGTACCTTGTCTTTCTTGGTAAAATTATTTAACAGATGTTTCCATTTGGCATACTTTCCTGATAAATGGAAAAATGCAAAAGTTGTTCCAATTTTGAAGCCGGATAAAAATCCAGCTGAAGCTTCTAGCTACCGTCCAATAAGTTTGCTTTCTTCAATAAGTAAACTTTTTGAAAAGATAATTTTGAATAGAATGATGCTTCACATCAATACGAACTCAATTTTTGCAGATGAGCAGTTTGGATTTCGCCATGGGCATTCAACTACTCATCAACTCTTAAGAGTTAACAATTTAATTCGTTCAAACAAATCTGAAGGCCACTCAACTGGAGTTGCTCTTCTAGACATAGAAAAAGCATTCGACAGTGTTTGGCATGAAGGTTTGATTGCTAAATTGAAAAAGTTTAATTTTCCACTTTATATTATGAAATTAGTTCAAAATTATTTAACTGACAGAACTCTTCAAGTAAATTATCAAAATTCCAAATCTAATCGACTACCTGTTAGGGCAGGAGTTCCTCAGGGTAGCATTCTTGGGCCTATATTGTATAACATTTTCACTTCGGACCTCCCTGATTTGCCTCAGGGTTGCCACAAATCTTTGTTCGCTGATGACACAGGCATTTCCGCTAAAGGAAGAAGTCTTCGTGTTATTTGCAGCAGACTGCAGAAAAGTTTAGATATTTTCTCTTCTTATTTACAAAAATGGAAGATTTCTCCCAACGCTTCCAAAACTCAACTTATAATATTTCCACATAAGCCTAGAGCTTCGTTTTTGAAACCTAGTAGTAGTCACATAGTCACTATGAACGGAGTTCCAATTTCCTGGTCAAACCAAGTGAAATATCTTGGATTAATACTTGACCAAAAATTAACTTTTAAAGATCACATTGAGGGCATTCAAGCCAAATGTAACAAATATATTAAATGTTTGTATCCTCTTATAAACAGGAAATCCAAACTTTGCCTGACGAATAAACTTCTAATATTTAAACAAGTTTTTAGACCGGCCATGCTTTACGCTGTGCCAATATGGTCTAGTTGTTGCACTACCAGGAAAAAAGCACTTCAAAGGATTCAGAACAAAATTCTGAAAATGATTTTGAAGTTGCCTCCCTGGTACAGTACAACCGAAGTACATAGAATTTCGAATGTTGAGACTTTAGCACAAATGTCCAACAAAATAATTAATAATTTCAGGCAAAAATCGTTGCAATCCTCAATTGCAACGATTAATTCCCTTTATACTTAGATAAGATTTAGTTTTAGTGTTTAGTTTTAAGATATCAATTGTTATACTGACATGCAGGTTAAAAAACCTGTTTAAAATACTGAATTGCCAAGACATGAACAATGTAAAAACACTTAGATATATATCATAACAATTAAGGCTGGTAAGTTACTGCAGTAACTGGAGCACCTAGGTTAAAATGAAATGTAATTTATTTTGAATTTGGAACAAATAAAGAGTTAAAAAAAAAAAAAAAAAAAAAAAAAAAAAAAAAAAAAAAAAAAACGCGTTTTTCTCTTATCGAGAATAGGAAAGTTGATTGTAGTACAACCTAGTGCTACACATTTTTGAACTAAACTATCAGCAAACTGAAAGGACTCAACTGAGAGCAACTCAAATTTGAATCGAATTGGATTCAAAATTGTAACATGTGTGATTACTGTGTAGATTAGTAAAATTTTCTCGATTTTCCTCAAAAATCGGCTCGAATGTATGAAAAAGAATGCATGTCCATGATTATATTTCATTCGTTTTCCTGATTTATGAGTCCACTGAGTAACCCCACTTCTTACCCCGTAACGTGGGTAGATCACCTGTTTGTGGTACGTTACGGGATGTAAGATCTACCACCGATTCCTAGTCCCGACTACTTCAAACTAGGGGAACAGGATTTTTCAGTAATCAAAGGAACACATCTTAGTCCTTGTTACTTTTTATGCCTTGTTGATAGTGACAAGACAAAACCGAGGATGATCTTTAAACAAGGAAAAAATGAGTTAGTTAGTCTTCATCTATGTGATTCCTAATCTTCTATTCGTTGTTCGCTAGTTTGAAGTGGTTAAGACTAGGGTTCTGATGCATGGTCATTATCGATGTCATTGTTTAATTTTGTTGCTATGAAATCCAATTTTGACTGACAAAGGGGCGTACCTTTGGAGGGTATTGCAACACTCCGAAGGGTATAAATAGCGGGACCTTTCAATTAGAGTTGGATCCTTGCGATAAATGCAAGAATGACAACTGTAAAAAAAATCGAATACTTCATCATTTCTCAATAGTGATGTAGTAATACGACATGCATTAAACTAAGGACACGGGATATACTATAATAGAACAATTTACTGGTGTTAGCTCCCGAACAGGGGGAAAAACCCCCACTTCTTGGAATTATGAGTTGATTTAGATTCAATTTAATGTTCAGTTACTCTCATCGGCCGTTTAAGAGATATTATGTAAAACAGAGTTTATTAACTCATGAGATTTATCATGTGAGAAACCAAAATGACATCCATCAAAATTTATCATAAAAGTTAACCTCTTTGCCAAAAATAGATTCATTCTATATTTTTAGAATCATAAAAGTATTAGCACCCCCTAGCGACTAAATTCCCAAGCACAATGTCCATCATAGCTGAAGCACAAGTCCACTGAACAACTTTACCGATGACATGAACAATTTATCTTGTATCAATATCAAAATATGAACCGTAGAAGTACTATCCTATTTATAGGACGCTGGGGGTTTGGCGCATGTATCCTATTTTTAGAACGCTAAGCGGATATGAGTTAATGATCCGTTCGGAATTCGTTGCATTACAAATAAATTTTAAACATTTTGAATTTTACTCAAGAATTTATGAAAAATAACACATAGAAGATAAAACTGTACAATGCTTGACACTATAATTATTCAAACTCGTTCAACAAAATGATGCAATCATGCAACATAATTCATGAGATAACGACACACATAGACAGAACAAGTTGTAATACCTGCCATATTTTTGCACTTTCAAAAAGAAAATATTTGTGACAGTAAAAACGAACTGGAATGCTGGTATTACGTAATAAATGAGCACAAGCGCTAAGCTCTTCTGAAACCAACTCCACGTGTTTTCATTGTTAGTAATGTAACTTATGCAGAGACTAATGATAAAAATTGTAAATCTGCTTTGCCAGCATGCTTCCTTAAATCATCATTCTCGGCAGTATTTCACGCACGAATAGCGCAAAGTAACATGAAACATTACTAATGTGATTAATTAACCAAAGTGAAGTTTAACACAGCTCAACCTTTTTTTTTTTTACATCAACTGACCTTTACGTACTCCTTGTTAAATTTTCAACAGCACCTTCGATATTATAGGATGTTTTTGCACGTATTCCAACTTATTCTCGTTGCATTTCGCCTCGTTCCAGCACTTCAATCGGTTGCATTTTATTCCAACGGTTCGTTAATATTTCCTACACTTATAAATTGCTGATTTACGTTAAACTTAATATATTTACAATATTCTAAACAAAACAATCACGCAATAAATAGTCGAATAAATATTTATCGAATGCAACATCACTGAATACCAGAGGAATATTTTCGCGACATCAAATTCCTCTATATCCCGTTGGACGACAGAGCACTACATTTTGATATAAATAAAACCGGCACAACCCGAGACGCCAGGGACCGATGTTGCGTCTACGAATCGAAAGTGAAAACTAATCCTCGAGGAAAAGCTAGGAGACACGCTCACGCAGAAACGCACCTCATCTTCATAGCTTTTCCAACTCGAAGCGCGAGGAGAGCACAGACAGAAGAAAAGGAAAACGGATGATGGCTCGTGTGTGAAAAATGCATTTCCACCGATCTATGTACAACCGTTATATACAGATTCTTACTAACCCATCGTGCACGGCTTTGGATGAGATGGAATGGAAAAAGGAAGCTGTAGAGTTATTGTTGAAATAAACGATCGTGCATTGCATCGTAAGCTGGGGTGCACTATTGTAGACTGGAGTGAAAAAATGTCTACACTGAAATGGGAAGAAAAAACGATCGTATAAATACTAGGACAAAATGCCATTAGCTGCATTTGTACTGCTTATATGAGACATTTAAAAAAAAATTCGCTATGTCGCAAACAAGCATCGAGCTTCAAATGTGAAAAAACTCAAACATCTGATTTAAAATAAATTGATTTACATATTTGTTAAAGATTAATGTAAATCCTCAAACTCCGTCATCGTTAAAGACTTGACACATTATCTGTGACATCAGGAAAGATTGTAGAAATTATATAATAATAGGGGAAATGGCTCTAATGTTGGCCTATCACGCAGAAAAATTTATCGTTGAACCAAAAATATTTGAGGTAAATTTAAACGTAAACTCAGTTTGTTCTGGCCACAAAAATAAACAAGGTTTATTTCAAACGTATTCCATGTTTGAAGTCATGTGATATTAATGTTTAAAACAACAATAATGTTACGTTTATTTTAAAAATATTCGTGTTGAAAATAAACGTGAATATTTTTGTTTGGTTTGACAAGTATGTGAACAAAAATAAATATGTTTATTTTAAACATGCTTCTTATATGTTTGAAAGAAACATACTTAATTTTAAATTATATTAGCAGGATAAAGCAAAAAAATGGATTGCAAAGAGATGAAAAAACGATCTGCATCTAAGCTTCTGCTCTTTTTCGGGTGCGATTATGGGTAAGCTGTGGATGTTGGGTCCTGGTCCGAGATGCGGGGACCCGTCGGGGTGAGTGTCCGGAAGTTTCAGTTCAGTAAAACCAGTGAAACTTTGTGATATCAGCGTCGTTTTATCGTTTCTAACGCTGGTCCTCAGGCCGGTCTCTTTCTACGTTCGGTGTTCAAGGAGGGGGGATTGGAGGATCCGGAATAGATTCAAAATCTATTTAGGATTTTCGTTTTTCTTTCAACGTCAGTTGTGGAGGAGGATGATAAAGGATCGGCATCAGAAACGAGAGAGCGACGTCGATACCGCTGGGGTTCCTCCGGTTTTATCGAGCCGGAACTTTATTAAGACACTTACCTAGGTGGGTTTCCGAATCCATGATTTCGGTTTTGTTGCGGGCCGTTTTCAGTTGATTGGGGCATTTTTTCCGAATGAAAACAAGAAGGAAAAAAAAGGCAGGGCACGCTAAAAATCGTTTACCCAAATTCTATATTGTTGAAATAAACATGCTTTTGACTTTAATTCAAACATATATATTTTTGTTGCAAACATGTTTTTAATTTATTTTGAATTAATCATATGTTTATAGAATGAACATTTATATTTTTGATTTGAATGAACAAAATTCGGTTCCGTGATGGATCTAAGATTGGGCCCATCGCTAAAAATCTGCTGTTTATCCATTTTATCTAGATGAACGCGTCATTGGGACGGTACTAATGGATATTTTTAGTTGCTATTGAAAATATAGTCGATTGCTGAATTTATGTATGGGCCCAAATTAGAGGCATTTAGGCCGAAATCACATCCATTTCCCCTAAATGATCACAAATATTTTTTTTATCAGTATCAAGGCCCTTTTCAACTTTTTTGGGTCACACTGCAAACTAAGGTGGGCTGCCACGTCGTAAGAATGCCGGATGACGACCCAGTGAAAATGGTTCTCGAAAGCGAGTGGATCGACCAAGTATGGACCCTTCGTAGAGTACGAGGTGGTGACGTGTGGGCATAGATCGAGTAAAGTGGAGAAGACTTCTTCGGACAGTAAGTAAGGTAAGGTATGATTATTATAGTGGCCTTCATATTCCAAACCACTTTGAACATATCGTTTTCAACCGTTAATATGAAGGACACTCCGTGCATATACGCACATATATCAACCGGTGGAAACTAAGGATTTTAAATTGACTCACTTGCATAGAGGTAACTCTAAGACTAGTCGGTCCCGAAGAAACGTGTTCAACTTTTTGGTTCAGCTCTGGTACTAGAGTTACCTCTATGGTACCAGAGCTGAGCCAAAAAGTTGAGCACGTTTCTTCGGGACTTTCTGGTCTTAGAGTTACCTTCGGATTTTTCTCTATGATATGACCACCCCTTGAATGGATTTATGTTCGATTGTCAAATCCAATTTGACATGAGATTTTAACATCCAGTTGCTTTTTATTTGGGTCATGGCCCAAGTGGCCCAACCACCGACAAACCGACATGAAACTTAAACTTAACTCTTGATCGAGAATTCATAACGGCAGATTCAAATGTGCAGCGATCCCATCTGTCAAAACCATAGAAATTTGTTATCTATACCTAAGAGAAGAGGTGACAATACGGGGGCGAAAATGAACCACTTTTCTGTCAAACGTGAACCAACTCCTGATTGGCCGATTTCATGTGCGTAAGATAGAGATCGAGATAGATAAAGATAGAGATAGAAATAAAAGAGGAATATGCCAATTGTCACCTCTTCCTCTTAAATCTAGACAAAAAGCAGCCCAAGTATTAAAAGCATAGAGGTAACTCTAAGACCACTGGGTCCCGAAGAAAATCATTATTATTTTTGGCTCACTCAGTACCAGAACAACGGTCCCAAGCAGTCCCAAGCTATTTCACTCACCCCTGCATGTTCTGCATGAATCCACACACCCCTGATGTTATCTGTCAAACTTTCATAGCTAATCAAAACAAACATACACGCAGAAAAATTTATCGTTGAACCAAAAATATTTGAGGTAAATTTAAACGTAAACTCAGTTTGTTCTGGCCACAAAAATAAACAAGGTTTATTTCAAACGTATTCCATGTTTGAAGTCATGTGATATTAATGTTTAAAACAACAATAATGTTACGTTTATTTTAAAAATATTCGTGTTGAAAATAAACGTGAATATTTTTGTTTGGTTTGACAAGTATGTGAACAAAAATAAATATGTTTATTTTAAACATGCTTCTTATATGTTTGAAAGAAACATACTTAATTTTAAATTATATTAGCAGGATAAAGCAAAAAAATGGATTGCAAAGAGATGAAAAAACGATCTGCATCTAAGCTTCTGCTCTTTTTCGGGTGCGATTATGGGTAAGCTGTGGATGTTGGGTCCTGGTCCGAGATGCGGGGACCCGTCGGGGTGAGTGTCCGGAAGTTTCAGTTCAGTAAAACCAGTGAAACTTTGTGATATCAGCGTCGTTTTATCGTTTCTAACGCTGGTCCTCAGGCCGGTCTCTTTCTACGTTCGGTGTTCAAGGAGGGGGGATTGGAGGATCCGGAATAGATTCAAAATCTATTTAGGATTTTCGTTTTTCTTTCAACGTCAGTTGTGGAGGAGGATGATAAAGGATCGGCATCAGAAACGAGAGAGCGACGTCGATACCGCTGGGGTTCCTCCGGTTTTATCGAGCCGGAACTTTATTAAGACACTTACCTAGGTGGGTTTCCGAATCCATGATTTCGGTTTTGTTGCGGGCCGTTTTCAGTTGATTGGGGCATTTTTTCCGAATGAAAACAAGAAGGAAAAAAAAGGCAGGGCACGCTAAAAATCGTTTACCCAAATTCTATATTGTTGAAATAAACATGCTTTTGACTTTAATTCAAACATATATATTTTTGTTGCAAACATGTTTTTAATTTATTTTGAATTAATCATATGTTTATAGAATGAACATTTATATTTTTGATTTGAATGAACAAAATTCGGTTCCGTGTAGTGTAGTAATAGAATTTCAACTAGAATAGGGTACGTTAATCGTTTGCTTGGGACCAATAGGCTACTAAAGTGGTGAGCCAATTTAAAATTGTTAGTTTCGTATTGATTGTTGTTAAAAGTCCAACCAGCGAATTGGGTTGTTTGCCTTCGAAAAATATACCGATTTCTATACATCATCTGCACGAAACGAAAATCAATTATTTTATTCATGTGTTTCACTTATACATTTTTGCCAAAACATCAGCCTTATACATTCCATAAGACAAACCACATGGGTCTTCAAAGGATGCATAAAAGGTATGTGTGACCGCTTATACATTTCATTTGACACATGATCTTCATTAACGTTTTGCAAGGCGCCTGCTTATTAGTTGACTTATACATTTTATGAATAATCAGCAATAGAAATTTTCCAAAAGGTATAAGGAGATTTCTATCCGTGTGGTAAAGCATCGTTTCTTGAGCACAACGATAGTTTTATCGGGTATTGAGGTAAATACATATTCGTTATCTGCATTAAAAATGGAACCGAAATCCAAAATTTCATCAACTACTACTGGTACACTGGAACTATTTTAAATAGGTACGATTACATTAGCAAAAAACACCATTTTAGCGCCCCTTGGTGGGACTTCGTATGGGAGCGAGCTGTCAACGATCAAAAATTTAAATCTTGATTTAGAAATCGAGATGAATGTCTGTGGGATTGATAGAAATATCATTGTGCTCAGAAAGCGAAACTCTATCACATGATGTATAAAAATTGGTGTATTTTTCGAAGTTAAACAACCCAATTTAGTTAGTTCAACAATTTATTTTCAAATTTTAGTGTATTGTTTAAATGCAATTCTCACCGTCTTCATTTATCTTGAGCTAGCAATGGTGCACCCCTCGTGTTGTTTAATTTTATTCTTTTCGTCGATTCCGATATAATCGCTTTGACAGCTAACTCGATGTAACCTCAAAACGTCCTAAACAAAACATTTTGCGCTTTGGGTTCGTTACCATTTTTGTATTTGCTATTGGAAAAGCTTCCTAAAGGTGAAAAATATTTTTTAAATTGGGCCTACAACATAAAATAAGGCAGTCGTGAACTCGGTAAGTAGATAAAACAGTTACTGGAAACTGCGACAGTCTTTTATTTGGTTATATCATCTGCATTATTTTGTCACAGCGGATTGTAACTTTTGACAGTTCGATTTTCTGACGGCGCCGCTCGCTATGGAACGCGTGTATATTATACGGTGATCAATATTCCGATAGAAAATTGATAAACTCAGTAAAGTTTTGTGTTGATTGCGTCGCCGAAGTATTCAGGAAGAGTTTTCTAACTGTAGTGATGAATAAAAGTGAAAAATAAGCTTACTAGTGAGATGCTTTCCAAGGGCAACACAGCTCCGATGTTCTATCGGATTTTATCTCGGTTTCCCCCAAATGTTACATTCTGCTTCGCTTATGGATCCGGTGTAAAGCAGCAGCTAGGGTATGATGCGTCCCAGAAAAAGAAGAACATGATTGACTTGATCTACACTGTCGATAATGCTCACAGATGGCACGCTAGTAATCTGGAACGGAATCCCGAGCATTATTCCGGATTGAAACATTTGGGTAGCAATTTTATTGCCAAATATCAGGAATCGTTTGGGGCCAAGGTGTTTTTCAATACGTTGATACCAATTCCGGAGGAGGACGTCATCATAAAGTACGGAGTTGTTTGTACAAAGGATCTTTTAGATGATTTAAACACCTGGTCGAATTTATATTTAGCAGGAAGGCTCCATAAGCCTGTGGAAATAATTCGAACTGCTAGCGGTTCCAAAATACAGAATGCCATCAACAGTAACCTACGAGCAGCGGTTCACGCAGCGTTACTTATGCTACCTGAAAAGTTCACCGAGTTTGAACTTTTCCGGGAAATATCTAATCTGAGCTACGCTGGAGACTTTCGGATGATTTTTGGTGAAAATAAGGACAAAGTCAACAACATCGTACGACCGCAGTTGGAAGGCTTCCGTAATCTTTACGCACCGACTCTGTCTCAGCTCCAACATGTTCTTAGTCTACCGTTGGAGAACAGCGATAATTCCGTTTGCATTCAGGATCAATCAGAGAAAACCGTTCTATATCATCTAAATCATCTACCGAAGTGGCCAGTTCGTCGGATTGTGTACAAACAGACTAAAGGGCGCTATAGACAGGACACGGAAGATATACTGACAGCCGTTTCTAAATCTTCAAACTACCGAGAATTAGTATCCCAGAGTCTTCGTGCTATTGTGTGGCAGAGTAGCGTGAAACAGTCGATAAAGAATATACCGTCGGCAGGTGTGACCAAATCTATTAAATACAGCTGGACAAAGGCTTTGAAAACTTTCAACATGTGAAATAACCAGGACGTCTCACTTGGCATTTAATTTGAACCAAACACTAGTCATCTTTTGTGCTGGTATTGTTGCAGTTAGAATAAACCGATAGTAGAGAGCAAAACATTTGTTTGAATGGTATATATCACATCCAGACTTACTTTAAGCAAGCTTAAATTTTTGCTAAATCCATTCGAAAACTTACGTTAATTGATGTTATTATTTTTTTCAGGATTAGAAATGTCCGATTCAGATACGTCGGATTCTGATTCAGGGATACGCTTCAAAACGACATCGACCCGTTACAAACCGGAAAGGATCGAGAAACATTCATCGTCGTCCAAATCCAGTCGCTCGACTAGTTCCACTAACAGACGGAGTCGTGACCGAGACCGTGATCGGGGCCGAGACAAGCGGAGAAGTAGCGTGGACCGAAAATACAGCCATCGCAGCAGGAGCAGAAGTCGCAGTCGAAGCAGAGACCGCCGAAAACGCAGAGAAAGAGACCGACGAAGGCATCGCAGCAGAAGTAGATCTCGATCGAGGTCGAAGCAATCTCCGCGCGGAAAACAAGAGCGGGAAAAATCAAGTGTGGAAAATAGAAACAATAGCCGGGAATCTTCCAAACCATATTCAAAGCCATGTAGCTCGTCTGGAGTGGAACCATCCAAAATAGAATCTGGGAAAATTTTGGACATTTCTGTGTCTTCTCTATCTTCCCAGGAAGAAGCTGTTGAAAAAGATGAAGCCCCAGTGAATTATTTTGGCCCAGTCCCTCCCCCTGTGCTGCATCAGCAAGCAAAAGATGATACAAATCTAGCTACTGAAGAGATGACTGACACAATTGGACCCGCTCTTCCACCTCATCTGATCATGAGTAATCAGGAAGAAGATAATAATGCACGCGTAATCGGTCCTACACTGCCAGCTAATTTGAAGCTAACGACAAAGGTAAACGAAAGCTCCGAATCGGAGCTTTCACCGTTTTCGGAAGAAGAACCATCAGGTGCAGAGGAAGATGACGATTTCATCGGTCCCATGCCGGGTGCCTCCAGTTCACGATCTCAACTAGAGCTAGAACAACGGGCTCTTGAACTGAAACTGCGGCAGTTCGACGCTGATCGGTACGATTCAAAAGCTGCCGGTGTAAAATCTCGAGAGGATTGGATGATAGAATTGCCCGACATACGAAAGGTAAGTGATATGGGCCTAGGAGCTAGACAATTTCGAACGCGTGAAAAGCAAGAAATTGGCGATCGTTCCGTGTGGACTGATACACCGTCCGATCGAGAACGTAAAAAGACTACCGGTCATTCGTCGAAAGATATGACTCGTGATCGCGAACTAGAAGAAGAACGCAGAACAGCAGCCGAACGAGACAAACAGCAGGAGGAAATGATCAAACGACACAAGAAAAAGCATAAACGTGACAAATCCCTACTCGAATTGCATCAGAAAAAGGAAAAGGTACCCGTTCGCATGCGCTTCAGGTGATTCATCACTGATCAATTGTGTTTTACTTTGAATTCTATATTCCAGGAGAAGGCCGAATCCGACGAACCCACTCGCCGACCGTTCGATCGCAACGTTGATCTGCAAGCCAATCGATTCGATGAGGCCCAGAAGAAAGCCATCGTCAAAAAGGCACAGCTTTTGGATACGCGGTTTTCAAGCGGGGCATCCAAGTATTTATAGGCCAGTGAGCAGAGGACGGTTGCTACCACTATACCACACGATCGACTGATTACTAATTAACCAATCGTAATCGGCAAACTTTATGTTCATTTTAGCTGTATAAAATTAAGTGTTTTCTTATTGCAAACATTTCCGCTAGTATAAGATAGTTAAGAATCAGTTATCGAGTTGTCCAAGTTGAATGGAGGTGCATCATTTTTTAATCGTTGTGTTTATAACAATACCATATGTTCACCTTGGAACCGCTATGATTAAATATCTGATGCCCCTTTTTACATATTTGATGATTGGCAACTTATCCATACTATTATTAGTAGTAGGTACCTACGACATTGAGAAACAGAGTAAAATTTCATACAAGCTTCAATGAGTAGCACTTCTATTTTGAGAAAACCTACTATGAGTAACGTTGAGTTGATCATACTTACCGTTCATCTGGTCAAATTGATCAACAGAGTCTTCTTTCTTCTTTTGGCTTCATTACGTCCCCACTGGGATCGCCGTCTTTCAAATTAGTGTTCTTTGAGCTTTTCCACATGCGCGGAGGGCTAAGTTTCATGCGCCATTGGACTCGGCTCCACGAGATCAGAAAATGCCTGTGAGTGTGTGTGTTTGTGTGTTATAAAATTTGAGAGGCGTGTTTCTTGCCAACCACTAAACCAAACTGGAAACAACTTGGCCTATTCTGCGCGGCGTGTGAGGTGAGGTGACACGCTGTCACTTGTGAAGTGACAATTGTCACCTCGGGTGAGGCGACTCTCCGTGCAAATCAAATGGAGAGTCACCTCACCCGAGGTGAAAATTGTCACTTCACTGTCACCTCACCTCACACGCCGCGCAGAATAGGCCTAAACAACTGCCATACGAAAGGAAATATGGTTCCATAGAACGCAATTGAATATTTTTGGAATCGGTCTACTGGTTCCGGAGATATGGCTGGAACAAGTTCCGCTGAATACGGGCCCTAAGACTAGGGAACATGAAAATTCGAGAACAAGAACAACGGTGGCCATATTGAGTACTCAAGACCCCGTTGGCCTTACCCGGACATGTTAAGGGGACCCACGGGGAAAGAACTTGCACCAAGACTTATAATGCGATACCTCAAATCACAAGGGAATGCAAAATTTAGTTCAACTGTAGTAATAGCAAGTGCCCAAGACCAGAGTTGCTTCCACTCACTTGCTATAAAACAATGATTTTATAAATTATGAGATCATCAGATGATATAATGATATGCTGTACTTGTAAGTAACAAGAAAAGGGTGTAAAGGATGTGTTTGACTCATAAAACCTGTCAATTTCGCTTTCAGAACGTCACAATCGGAGATCTTATGATTCGCGAGTATTCACTCTGAGTGAGCGCTCACGAATCGTTAAATAGCTGATTGTGACGCACTGAAAGCAAGTTTGACAGGTTTAATAATGTATCAAACACATACTTCACGACCTCTTCTTGTAACATACAAGTACTAATTATCATTATCACATCTAATGTGTTCATAATTCGGAAACACAATTTTTTATAGCAAGTGAGTGGACACCGTTGCCAGATTGTTTTCAAGCTTATCGGTATCAAATGTTTAAAAAATCGGTATTTATCGGTATTCGCTATTTTAATTATTTTATATTTTTGCCTATTTGTAGGCAAAAATTCGAACTTTTGGACTAATAACGAAGAAGTAAAGTTGGAAGAAATTTCCGGGAATATTTGAATTAGTCTCTTAATGATACCGAAAAAACTTCCAGCGAAAGAATAAAGAAGATCTTGTTGAGGAAGTGTGCAAGACATTCTAAAAATATGTCGGAAAAATATCCGATGAGGATTTTTCAAGACAAATATTGAGAAACTTTTGGTGAAAACTTTAGAAAATTTTGGCGAGGAAATGGAAGCATTATTCGAAAGTGTATCAAGCATAGCACTTTTTTTTTCTTAGTGCTGGCTCAAAAAATTGAGTGTTTAAAAAGATAAAACCTCTCATAATAGTTTCAGCGTGGGCGAGCAGTGATCATTTTGATTATTAAAAAAAAATCGGTATAAATCGGTACTGAAGCTCAAAAATCGGTATTCTGAGAAACCTTATCTGTACATCGGTATCAAGTTTGAAAATCGGTATAAATACCGATAAATCGGTATATCTGGCAACGCTGAGTGGAAGTAAACCTGTCCAAGACCACATTGGTCACACCCGGACATATTCCATATACCCAGGGGGAAGAGGTAAGTTTCTAATTTGAACCAAAACCCATCATTTGACAGCTCAAATCACATGAAAACTCAAAACCAAGTTCTATAGGGTAGATAACTACTTCGGCCTAATCGCCCATTTTGGGCCTATCGATCAGAAAACTTCAAATAAATTCATGATTTCAGAGTTAACAAGTCAATTATACGTTTGCTACGATACTTTAGTTAATAAGCTACGGAACGAAGTCAATGAGAACGCGTGATATGAAGGTTTGCACCCATTATTCCCAAAAACAAATGAAGCGCTCCGGCCGAATCAATTTTTATCTCCATCCGATAGGCCGAAGTGAATTCATTGGCTTTTCATAGAGTCGGTGTATAATGAGTCACGCCAAGAGAAAAACAGTTGAACTCGCATCACGGTTTTCGAAAGATTCCCTTTCTTTTAACTTGGCAACAGAGGACTTCTACATCAACTTCAAATGACTTCTAGCGAGGAAAAAATTAACGGCTGTAGTAAATCATTATATCAGTGATTTTGTCGAATTATCTTAAAGAAAAATAGTAGAAATTGTCATTACTGATCATAACAAAACGTATCGCATGACAAATGTAATGCTCACTGCGTGTATATGATCATTTCTTCGATTATATTTTATATTTAATTGCAATACCTTTCGTGGACCTTTCATAGCATCGTAATGCTTGTTTACTTTGCACGATAGGTAGCCGGTTTGACAGTTCAATAGGTAGACTTGGCTTCACTCTTGGCGTGACTCATTATAACACCGACTCTAGCTAGCTTTTCAATGGTGTTTCAATGAATTAGGCCGAGTTTAGAATCCGTAGGCCGAGTTTGGCGTCAAGAAGCAGTGTTAGAATTTTGACAATATCTCAACGATTGGTTTCTCTTTATCAAAAATCTTACGGTACACACGGAAAGGTAAATAAATTTGGAAGCCATCAGTTATAATAACATTCCGTTTGGTGCTAAACTGCGCTAGATTAAGAAAGACTAAGTGTGGGTTGTGCTTAATAGGCCGGAAATGGGGTAGTTAACCCTATTAGTCATATCGAGTACTCAATACTATGTTGGCCAAATCAGGACATGCTCCGGGTACCACAACCAAGAGGTCAGTTTCTTACTTCGACCAAAATCTATCATGTGACACCTTAAATCACAAGAGAATTCAAAACCAAGTTCAACGGTAACTATTTCAATGCCCAGGACCACATTATCTGGATATGTTCATTCACCTGAATTCCACTCCCCCAAATGTCCCATAAACCCGACAGATATTCACCCGAATGTCATTATATATGAACTGCATTTTCCCTAAAGATCATCGTCGGTATTATACCAGCACAGACAAACAGACGAAACTCTTTCTCCTGAATCGTCGTACACTCATTTAACGCTCATTTTAAATATTATTAGTTTCGCGAATCTCTCACCACAGCGCACAAACTATACCAAATAATCATTCCTCTACCTGATAGTGTTAGGGCCTGTTCATAAACTACTTCGAAAGTTTAGAGAGAGGTGACAATCAGTTCTGTTAATTTTCATGTCATTCTATTGAAGATGAACCAATCCAACCATTCAATCAGTTCTGTGAAAACGAATTCTCACATAACCAAAATTTGAAGAGTCCGTTTCTCATTCGAGCTCATCGTCACTGTCAATTGAATCACTGACTATCATTTGATATACGACAGTGGAGTATGGATGAAACCCAGTAAAATTGTCCCGAACAGACAAGTCGACCCGATGTCGGATCAATCTAAGGCAAATTTATGGACTATGTCGACACAATGTCGTGTTGTTGTCGGGTCAATTTTGGGTTTATATCGGGTCAATTTGGACTCAACATCTTGTTGGGGTCATGTTGGTGTCGGGTAAAACTTTTCCCTTTTGCATTTAACGTTTTGGACGCTAGGTACGAACCTTCTTTATCAAAAAGATGTGCGTGAAATCTGTTTGCATAGCAGCGAGCATAGCAGTGGATATCAAAAGAGAAAGTCGATAAAGGGTATCGATTAAAGCATATAGGACCTTTTGAAATGTTCATCGAGAAATTAGCAGTAATATCACAAACGAAGTGACAGACGACTAACTGGCGAAAAAATCCATTAAAATAATGTGGTTCACTGTTATATAATTTTCTTGGAAGCTTGTGCCATCATCCACCAGATGGGTTAGTTTTTTTTTTGGTTTGATTTGAAAAAAAGTTGATTTTGTGTACAATGATTCTTTGACAGCACAAACGAAGTGACAGACGTTTGCTGTCACTCGATGGTGACCCAAATAACATTACTTTCGTCTCGTCTGACCAGATCACCTTATTCCAGTCATCACTGGTCCATGAAATGTGGTCCTGAGCCCACTTCAATCTTTTTTTAAATTTTTTTTACGGACAACCATGGCTTCTTAAGAGCTACTCTGCCCTTAAGACTTTTCTTATGAAGATGATTTCGTACGGATTGTGATGTCAGTTCAATGGAAAACTCGCTTTCAATCTGTTTCGTAATTTTCGAAGCTGATAGTCCCCGGTCCAGCTCCGCCTTCTTCACGATAGCTTTGTCAATTCGGCCAGTTGTCTTTGAATGACACCCGATCGCTTAGCTGGTGAGATAGAACCACACTTTTTGTACATCTGCACAATTCTAGCGACCATATCTTTGTGAAGCTGGACAATATCGGCAATATCACGGTAGCTTTTGCCAGTTTTGTGATGTTCAATAGTAGCGGTACGTTAGAAGCGTTAGGTTCCTATAGTTGTGTATTAAGTCTCCATGCACAGCTATAGGAACCTAACGCTTCTAACGTACCGCAACTATAGGAGCGTTTCCCCTAATCAAATTTCGGATACTGATCGAAATTTGAACTTTTTTGGGCATTTTGAAACAAATAACTTCCAATTTTGAACACAAAACTGTAATTTTGAGCACGAAAACTTCAAGAACACTAAATGACAGATAGACACAATGTTTACATTCGATAAAGTTGCAGAATACACACTAAAACTTTGTAAAACACACTTAAATCATAGTATCCGTTTGGGGGTGGATACTTTTTTTGCGTAATTTTTTACCATTTTTCATAAGAACTGAAATAAACGCCGTATTTTCAAAGGCAATGTGATAAATAAACATAAACTGATAAATCATGGAGGAACACTCATAAAATTAAACTGATTTTCACCAGAAAAACAAAATAAAATGTTAATTGGTAGGGGAGTGGATAAACTTGTTTTGCATACTGTATATCTTTTCCGGTACCATGGAATCAACAAAGTAAAAGTGAATGAAGAGCTGCAAAATGGAGCACATGCGATACGACAATGGAGTGATGCTCGTTAAGAAAATATCCGGAGACACTGTCCATTTTCCGCATTGGTGTTACGGTTTGATAAGACGCAACTAGGAACTCAAGATCACCATACAAAGATAATGGACGCCGAAATGTCGTAGAACACCTCAAAAATAACACTGGAGACTACTAAGCGACTAGCAGTGATGCAGAAAAGGACAACGAGTTCACAAATAGGCACGAAAATTAGACAGAAAGGTGAAGAAACAGTGAAAGTTAGTGAGATCGTTTTAAATTTATAATTTTCAATATTGCTCATATATACAAAACAATGCTGGGATTGGAAGGGACCATTAGGGCACCCGATAGAAGCAATTTGGATGGGGAAAGTGAAGTTGTTAACATCTCGTGGAAAAAGTGCGGGCTAGTCTCCACACTCATTGGAGTCTCCTTCTTTCGGACGGCTCATTTTTTGACCAATTGTATGATCATGTGGCTGGAAGGAGATTATTAAGCTTGATCAAATCAATCAGCGCCCACTGCTATCGGACTTGAATAAGTGGTAGACAATGCTTGATCCTTTTTATAGAACGTAATTTCATTTGAATAGCTTTTTTAACAGGGCTTAAACAATCGTCACGCCGGTCAAGCTCACCATTGCTACGTTACGTCTCGCATCCAAAAGCTCTACACTCAAAAAATTTGTCACAAAAATTTCACTGGAAAAAAACACGTTACCTTCAGATATTTAAACTTGTCTGTAAAGTACATGACGTTACTAAAATTTATTACAAATCGAATAAAAAGCAATGTAATACGCTTTGAAACTCAGATGAATATATATAAGTTTCATATGAATTTCATGTAAGATAATTTCACTTAGATTCAACATGAATTTATAGTGTGAAAATTTCTGAGTGGTGATGGCACAAACAAAACCTAACATGGCGTCCAAACGGTGCATTGCTGACAAGTTGTTGCTGTATTCACAAATACCATTGGATTTGTTGAATTTTCTGATAAGAATGATTAGCAACACGGCATTATATAACCTCAAGAAAATCAACAAACAAGCTTTGTTAAACGCTAGCAGAAGTCCCGGGGAACGTTTGTCGTTTAGCAAAGAAAGAACACAAACTAAAAGAGAGAAAAATATGTAGGTACAACAAGCAGATATCCTAAAAACTCTTATTTATTCCAGTTTATATCTACAACATTGAACTTATCTGCCTAAAATATCCTATTCGTAGCTATTTCATCTGTACTTAGTTAAGCATAGATGGAGACCTTCTTCACTTGTTGTTGTTTTACATAACAATGTAGGTACGCTCGCTGCTTCAAAGAGGCTCAATGTAACGCATCTGGCTCATGGTTTCTTTCCCCAACTTGGAAAGCGTCTTATTTTGATTTGTTACCTAAGAGTAAAGGTGCTCATCCATCTTTCTCTCTCTCTCTCTATCTCTTTTTTTCTCTCTAGCCAATGCCGTCTTCAAATTAAGGCACAGTGCACTCCTTGTTGATTTCCACTTTGAATATAAAATATCTAGCTTTTCAACCTTTTCCAACAGAATAAAATATAAAGTTTTTCAGTTCACAGTACAAACAGATCAACTATTAAGGTTCTCTTTTCTTATTTTCCCCTCTCTTCTCGATATTTCTCATCTTACCGTCTATACCATGAACAGGTTTTGTCCGTAACACCGCTTGTGAATATTCAGGTTATTACTACTTTTTATTCTGTTAAGTGAACATTTTCGAATGCAAAGTTTGGAGATGGAAAATTAATTCATGCTATTATACTGATTCTGAATATTCAGGTTATTACAGAATACTGAAAACTTCTGATGCAGCCTTGTCTTTCTGTCTCAGTCAAACAAAATTACTTGTTCAATTCCTTCTAGTTTAATAAATGGCGCTTGTTCACGTGCTTCTTATGCTGAAACTGTTTTTTTTTTATTTCTAAGGAAACGACATCAATGAGCTTAAACAAAGAACAAGATAATAAAGATAATGTCATCCGTCAATAATGAGAAAACTAATACGTTGCTCGCATTTCTTCCTGCAGTATGTTTTTAATACGATTACCGTCAAGGATTGTTGGTGCAGAAGTCATTTTGCTGTGAAGGACAATTTTACTCTAGTTTCAATGTAAAAATACTTATCCAAAAGATAAACGGTGCGCACAAAACTGCGCCAAAAACTAACGCGATATTCAATACGAAAGGAGCGACGGGCAATGAGTAAGTTTCGCTATTTAACTACCGAAATCAAGGGAATGTGTTCGCATATTCTACGCCAGCTTCTCCAGCAGTTTCTTAAGCTTTTCGTGCGCATATCGAATCTTCTGGTATAAATCGGTCGAACATCCTTGTTCCTGAATCGTGGAGAACCGATACGTTCGGAAATTTTTGTTGTTGTCCATAAGCGTAACAGCTCGCATCAGCGGACAAAGAATAATTTTCTGATGGTCAGAGAAGTTGAGCTATTGAGAAAAAAAAATAGATTAGAGCAAGTGAGTTTGAGCAAAAAATAATGTGACCAACTTACTTGCACGGTACCGTTGGTCAGATGCATAACAACAGCGCACATTGTGCGGAACCAGGTGTGCAGATGGGGAATACGCGAAATCTGATCGCTTTCGACGTTAACTGCCCCCGCACCAGCCTTAACCAAGTGTTCCGTCATGTAACGCTTGAAGTAGGATAACAGTTTCATCTTTTTCTCCATCTGTGGTGGATAGTTATGAGTATCCATGTACGTTTCGACGCCTTCCTTGTCAATGAAGTGCACATTGCTGTGAAATAAAAAGCGACGCTTGTTAGCCAAACTCCAAAAGTTGTAACTCTGACAAGAGGAAACTCACAGTCCATTGGCAAGCATGATCAATTTGGTGGTATCGTTGAACATCACTCCCATGCCCTCATCACAGAGCTGATACCCAAACCCGTATTTATCGCTGTAATCTACCCATTTCGAGACCCAGAAGAGCGGTTGAACCGCTGGATCGGTGTTTTCATCGTCCAAATTAGTCGCCAGTTTCGGTGGCTTTGAGGCAATTAGAGAGCTCAGCTGTTTGTACAGGTTTTCAATATCAGTCCGGTAGCCTTCATTGTGCCGTGACATGGTACCCGAAGCCGTGATGGCATCGTGAAGATTATTCTTAAGGAAGGACGATTCCAAGCGTGTATCATCTGGAAGGAGAAATAAGATTCGTTATTAGTGAGGCCAATTGGAACTTCCACCGTATGCCTACCGTTAACTTCTGAAAGTGGTTTCCTACCCATACGTTCGGCGTTCTCCAACTGGTCAGCACGGGGAGCCATCGTGAGACAAGAGATCGGGAGCGAAGCTGGAATGTGAGCGTTGCACATAAAGTCGAAATCGAACAGTGCCGTTACATTGGGACGCTTGATGGGATCCGACTGCAGCATGGCGCAGATCATTTCGGCAGCATTAGTCCTAATCGTAGACGGGAGTCGGTAATCACATTTTCTAATCTTGGAATAAGTATCTTTCAAACTTTTCGTTTCGAATGGAGGTTGTCCTACGAGCAACGTAAACATCACGCATCCAATGGACCAGACGTCAACCTCATAGCTATGGCCTTTTTTGTTCAGGATCTCCGGAGCGATATAGTTCGGTGTACCGCAAAGTGTTTTCTTTCGTTCGCCTTCATACTCTATCCTGGTAGCTAAACCGAAATCACCGATTTTAACGTGCAACTCATCGTTCAAGAACAGGTTTCCCAGCTTCAAATCACGATGGATAATGTGCCTGTCATGCAGATATTTCACTCCAGTAAGCACCTGATAGATATAATAACGGCACTCGTAATCGGTGATAACCTTTCGTCGTTTGTGCAGTTCCATCATAGACTAAAGGGGATAGCATAATGAATTAAAATCCAAACAAACATATCGCCCGCTTCCAACTTACCCGTTTCTTACAAAGTTCCAGCACAATGTAGATGTTCAGTGGATCATCGAAAAAGCTGTGAAATCCAACAATGTTCTGATGTTTCAGCGATTTGTGGATCGTGATTTCCTGAGTCATCTTCTCCTTCTGGTTATGCTTCATCATTAGCTTTTTGGAGACAATCTTGCCAGCGTACACTTCGCTCGTAACGATGTCCATGATTTCGTAACATTTTGCGAATCCACCCTATGTAGGTAATACAAAATGTTGTGATGATCAATACTGGGTTGTACAAATTGTTGTTGAGATAATCTCGCTTATCTGATGCACCTAAACCATTTCAAATCTGGGCTCCTTTAAATAGGGGGCTTTAGGGTTACCGATTAGTAATACCTCGATACAACATAACTGTCACTTTTCACTTCCATAGTCGATTTCTTGTAAATAACAACTCAATCACAGAAATCGATATTACCAATAGCAGGGTGTCTACTCATTTTGCTAAATAAAATTCCCTGAGTTTTCCAGTTTGTTTTCCAGGACTTCAACGCAAAATGGCCAGGTTTTTGAAGAAACATTTTTTGTTTAAACGTGAATCAATTAAAATCATCCTAAGAATTCCCTACGATCTCTTCTTCTTTAAGTTTTCTATCAGGAAAAACCTTGAAATTCTCCATAGTATTCGTTTGAAATTTACCTTAAAACCTCGTTGAAAATTTATTTAAAACCTTCCTCAAATCTTCTAATATGTAGTATACACACTCAGAAAAACGCATTTAAATTAAGGTGTTGTGAGACCGGAAATTCCGCTCAATCAAACGTACTTTTCGTCAGGTAACGAACTTTTCAGTCTCGGAGAACTTAATGTTAAAAGCGGCACCGGTGGTATAGTGGTTAGCGTGACTGCCTCTCACCCCAATGGGCCTGGGTTCAATCCCAGTGCGCGCCGTCGGGATTTTCTGAGGCATAAAATCTCTGATCACGCCTCTGACCGCCAAGGGAAGTAAAGCCGTTAGTCCCCGCTCCATGAGTTCATGAGGCGATAGGTAGGGTCCAGGTGTCGCAGCTGCCTCCCTGGCGTCGATAGTAGCATGGTACTCAGTACGGAAAACAAGATCGACGGAAAACAAATCAAGGAAAAAAAAACCTTAATGTTACATGACATAGGTATTTGTTTATGTCTCATCAATTATGTCGAAGATGGATTCCATCACAAGTAAAGTTAGTTATTTCTAAGTGTGTGCTGTTCGAATCATCATCAGAATTTCCATTGGATTCTCCTTCTTTTCTTTGAATTCTAATTAAAAGTACCTTGAAGTTCTCCTTAAAATTCACTTATTGTGCTGAATCTGCAGTAGAGCTATCGCTTTCTAATTCCCGGACTAAACTTGCTTTAAATTATAACATCAAGGATTGTTGTAAGCAAATTTCTTCTATAATACCACTGCCGGCCAGTGGGGGTTAGATTGAATACACATACACACACATATACAAATTATTTAAAAATAAATCTGGTTATTGCTACGTTAGTAGAAAATCCAAGATTCGATAAAAATCTAGGGTAGATGGGGGCAAGACGGTCATACAGTTACGTATTATTACACTTTCAATATTTTAGAAACTTGTTGAAAATGCTTCTGATATACATATCCATTAAAATCGAATCAAAATTCAATTATATGTCTAAGATAATGATGAAAACGCAAAATTGGCTCGTTATTTCTAAAATATTACAAGATTTGCAATCCTCAAAATAAGCTTGGCATTGACTATAGAGCATTACTATTACTGAACATTTGCTCTGAATGATTGCACTGGTTTTTGCGTTTTTTCTTGGTAATGAAATAGTTTTGTTCGAGAATTATCCCTACTGTGTTACCCACGAAACAAAAATCAATTATTTTATTCATGTGTTTCAATTATACATTTTTGCCAAACATCAGCCTTATACATTCCATAAGACAAACCACATAGGTCCTATAAGAATGCATAAAAGGTATGTGTGACCGCTTATACATTTCATTTGACACATGATCTTCATTAACTTTTTGCAAGGCGTCTGCTTATTAGTTGACTTATACATTTTATAAATAATCAAAAATAGAAATTTGCCAAAAGGTATAAGGAGATTTCTATCCGTGTGACTTATAACGAATATACGTTGCATACGAGTACCCCGAATACAAGGTATAGTTCGTCTAATTTTACATTACAAATGCTATGCAAAATTAGACGAGTCATACGTTGTATTCGGGATACTCGTATACAATGTATATTCGTTATAAGACAGGTAACACAGTAGGGGCGGAATGGGCAAACCCTGGGAGGGAAAAGCAGACTCGAAAAATATGAACGTTAAAAGGAGTCAGAATCAAGCTGTCACGAACTGTCATTGGGACCCAAGCAGTTTGATGATGCTTTTCTTACAGTTCAACAAGAATACACAAGGCGGTATTGAAATTTTGCGTAAAGTAATTTATGACAAACTGTCGTTTCCAGACTATCTTATTTAATGGGACACCACTTTTTAAATTCATTCATTGAATCAGTGATGCAAAATATCATGACACTCACTCGACACTCGTCAACGCATCAACCGACTATCGCTGACAGAACGTTTTGTCGCGCAATAAGAGGTAGAGCCATGGCAAACAATAATCACCAGTAATGGTCGCTGCTCATAGACAAAGCGTAAAACTCGCTGCTGATGATGTAAAGCACAACGAAAACAGTGAATACTTCTGCAGTACGACGATGGGAAAAAGTGAAACGACAGAAGAAAATTAAAACAATGCCTACGTATTCCAAGTTTGTCTCGGTACGCGCGACTGTGGGTTACAAACAAAGCTGGCCAAATTAAACGGAAGCTGTTGGGCTCACTCACCAACACACTCACATAAGCAAGCAAAACAGCAACTACTTCATAACGAGCACATATGAGTGTCGTGATTGTCGGGAATGACCAGATCGGTGATAGATCACCACCGAAGACGACATTCAATCACCAGTTGCTTTTTACTTCTTTCGTCAACTTGATGGATGGTCATGGAGATAGCTTCGACGAGCACATTGATAGGAATGTAGCAAGCGTTACTACCATCAGTTGTTTGACGATCGTTATTGTGATAGACCACAACTCTGCATTGAATATATGTACATACTCAAATCATGATGAAAGATACCATTTTTACCAGGTTTTTGTAAAATAGAGGCATAATAAAATACAAAACAGAAAAGTACATTTTCTCAATGCAAACTGAGCAATCTCAAACAATCACTACACGCTCAAAGCAAAACCAGCTATTCTACTACGCCTATTTTGATTTGATTTCAGTGGCACAAATTTTCATGAGAAGAACAACAAGTATAAAATGAATTCCGTGTGTGCAATCTGCTTCTCCCTCCCAGGGCATATCCTATCTGGGGCAATACGAGCAGTTTTTTCTTAACATAAACTATAAATGCTGCTGGCTAAACTATTGGCGGAAATTATGGTGCGGAATTAAACGCGTAAATCGAACCGGAAACAGTGGCCACAAAGCAGCATGATTGCGGCCTTCGAAGTTGTGGAGAGTGGTACTTTAGTGCGATGGGCAGCCTTAGTACATCGAATCCCCCATTGAAACGTTATTTACGCCACGCGGATCCATCATTTTTTTTTCCGGTAGAACAAGAAAGCGAACTTATGAATCCTCACTATGGAGCATTGTTTCTATGGGTTACTATCACAGAAATCCGGAAGTTTGCGTTCGATCTGGCGATCAGGAATGGTATCCCTAATCCGTTCAAAAAATAAACTGGTGAATTCGAATAAAATGCAATTGCTAAAATACCTTATGTTTCCATTTCGCATGATTTCTAACGTTTTTTTTCCAACGACAATCTGTCAACACGTTTACTTTTACTATTATTTTGACCAATTTTACCTGGTGTCCCACTTTCCGACAGGTGCTTCCAAAAATTTAATATTTTGTGATCGTAAAATTGAACATATTTGTAATTCTTTGACGAACGTTTCAGCTCAATTGATCATAAGTTACATCATGTCAAAGTTGACCATCGAACACAACTGTATCATACTCCAAATTGTCCTGGAGATATTTTACCAGGTTAACCGAAATCTTGTTCGATGTCCACTCAGAATTTTTGAGCATTTTGTACTTCATGGAGACTCATAACATCATTAAAAATATTAATTTTGTTTAAAAATCACATTGTTGAATTATACAAATCACCCCGGATTTGGATAATTCAACACAGTGAAAGACATAATATGAAAGTTGAAATAACATTGCAAAAATTGTTACTTGTGGGATTTAGGATGAGTATAAATGATCTGGTGCGATTTGGTTTTTCCCGGCAAATTCCAGTTTGTCCCCTGATTTCCCGGTTGGATACACTCTGCAAGTCAGTTGAATGGCTCAGTTTACACGTTCAATTCGAGTTCAAGTGAGCTGAATTCAACTGAATTGATCAATTGACTTACCCTGTCTAAACCCAGCTTAATGCTCAAGCGAAGCACTAGTGAGCGACGCGCTAGTGACCTTACCACCGACGACGACCATTCGTCGGTGAACTTACTCCGAACGAGCTTCATAAAGCCAAGACGCAACTGTTGCAAGCTGTTCAACAAGAGGTGTACAGCCAAGAGTGCGGAAGGGTAAGTCTATCCAACCTAAGCATATCCTTTCTGATTCCATCCTTTTTTGGATACGCAGGAAATCTTGCGTGTGGGCGGTCTTCTGCATAATTCAGCCCGGCCATACGACGTAGAACATCCAATCATCCTTCCACAAAATCTTCGAGCGAAGGAACTACTAGTGCATTTGGGATCGTCCCTCCTGACTGCAGTCGTCCATCAGCACTATTGGATAGTTGACTGCCAGACGGTAGTTCAAAAGGTAGTGCAGGAATGAAAACTATATGTGCGATGCAAGGGCAAGACTGCTGGCCAACTGCTCTCAACTCGTGCAATTCAAATAGTAAGTATGCCAAGAAGCGTCTTGTGGCAGAGTTGCGCTTACGTTTCAGGATTTGTCTACAATGTTGTGCCGGATTGAGCCATGCCTCAAGTCGTACCCTTTGTGTTCCTTGTCCAGCGATCCTAGCAGCGCCGAACCAGTGACACCTGGTATTTTTTTGATAAAAACCTGGTTCCTGAACCCAACTTGAAACATCTACTCAACAAGGCATACTCCTGAGCTGAACATCAACGTAGGTGAAAATTTGTTCAGTGTGAAAAAAAT